GAAGATAAAAGAAAAGAAAAGAGAAAAGAGAATAAGAGAAGAAAACAAAAGAAACGAACCACCTAGTTCCTCCTCCTCCCCTCCCCCTTCCCTTCCCCCCCCCCACCCTCTCTCTCTTTAACACACAAAAGGACTTCGGCGAAAAAACGAAAAAAACTAAAAAAAAGACGAAGCTCCTTTCAAGAATAAGGATAACGAGGTGGAAAGAAGAGAAAGCTTTGTCTCGCTTCTGAGGCTTCACCGAGGCTTCGAACAGGGCTTCGGAGAGGGAGCTTTGTCTGCTGAAGCCTCGTCGGTTTCTCATTAGCACCTCTGTCTCCCTAGTGGTACTGATGGGAGAGGATCTTCGTAAACATTAATATAATGGTTTACGTACATGTTTACATACGTACATGCATGCATACGTACATACATACACGCATGCGTACGTACATGTTTACATACGTATATGCATGCATACGTACGTACATGTTTACATACGTATATGCATGCATACGTACGTACATACATGCATGTGTACGTACATACATACAGACGTACATGTATGCATAATTACATACATACATGCATACATGAATACATATATACAAATATACATATATAAGCATACACATCTTTACATTTTTTCGAATATTTCTTCATTATTATTGATATTATTATTAAATTAAGATTACAATTATACACACAGACACACACACACACACAAATGAAACACAAAACACACAAAAAAAACACAAAACACATACACACACGAGCACGCACGCGCAGACATGACTATACCTACGTGTTTTGCTAATCTAGATACAAAATGTATTGTTCTGGAACAATCTACCTTAATTAGAGTATGTGGAACAATAGAGAAGGCTTAACAAAAAGCTAATGATTTATGAGGTCTGAAAAATATTTCATAATTCTGAAATGTGCATGGAGAAACAGATACAAATTGCTTTGTGAATGGGCTATGTTGCAACAGATTTCATTTTGCACTTTGCATTATTTTCCTTCTCCTGTTTCGTCTGTTTCTCCTCCTCCCCTTTCTCCTCGCTTTTTCTACTTTCTTCTCGTTCTCCCTCTTTTCCTTTTCCTCATGTCTTCTCATCTCTCTCTTCCTCCTCCTCCTCCTCTTCCTCTTTCTCTTCGCCCTCATTCTGCCTTCTCATCTCTCTCCTCCTCCTCTTCTTCTTTCTTATTTTTCTCTTCTTTCTCCCTGTCCTCCTGCCTTCTCATCTCTATCCACGTTCTCTTCCTCCTTCCCCTCCTCCTCTTCCTCTTTCTCTTCGTCCTCCTCTTCTTTATCCTCCTCCTCGTCTTTCTCCTCCTCCTACTTATCCTTTTTCTCCTCTTTCTCCTCGTCCTCCTCTTCTTTCTCCTCCTCCTCCTCTTTCTCTTCGTCCTCCTTCTCCTTTCCCTCCTCTTTCTCCTTGTCCTCCTCTTCTTTCTCCTCCTCCTCCTCCTCCTCTTTCTCTTCGTCCTCCTTCTCCTTTTCCTCCTCTTTCTCCTTATCCTCCTCTTCTTTCTCCTCCTCCTCCTCCTCCTCTTTCTCTTCGTCCTCCTCCTCCTCTTTCTCTTCGTCCTCCTTCTCCTTTTCCTCCTCTTTCTCCTCGTCCTCTTTTTCTTTTCCTCCTCCTCCTCCTCCCTCTTGATGTGCTGTTTTCCTGAGAGACTCCGACCGTGATGTTACTGGTTGAGATTAAATTGTTTTTCAAAGAGAAATGGGAGAACAGAACGTGGCGTTGCGTGCAAAAATCTAAAATGAAACAATTGCTGGTGATATTGCGTGCAAATTCTAAAATAGCTGATAGTGGTGTTACTTGTAAATTCTAAAAAGGATGCTGGTGGTGCTACGTGTAAATTCTAGAACAGATGCTGGTGGTGATGCGTGCAAATACTATAACAACTGACGGTGGTGTTGCGTGCAAATTTTATAACAACTGACGGTGGTGTTGCGTGCAGTATCTATAACAGCTGACGGTGCAAAAATCTAAAACTGCTGTATTTTCTAAAAAAAATTATAAGTATATAACGAAACAACAGCTGGGTCAAAAATAAATCCATGCCCCTTACCCTGCGATACCAAACGGGTCACCTCTACCAAGGATTAAAAAAAAAAAAAAAAAAAAAGGTCAGAAACTCACTCCTATTCTGATTTGACCTTTGACCTGTGTCAGACGGACCATAGATCTTGTCCCTTGACCTTTCCTCACCCGCTAAGCAACCACGCCCACCGAACGCATAGACAAGGCTTCCCCAACCACGCCTCGACGTGACCTTAACTCCGATAACACGAGCCGGAGTTATCTTGGTAACAATGATCGCATATTTCAGGGTCGTATAACAATGGAGATCTTTGTTTTTTTCTCTCGATTATAATCTTGAAGTCTATTGTTCTACGCCAGAGTAGTGGTGGTCTGCTCCGTTTTCTATGATGCATCAGGGCCGTTTTCTGTTCTTCGTGGGTGTTCATGAAGGGAGATAAGGGGAAAGAGGAGGAAAGATGGGGAGAGTGAGAAAGGGGGAGAGAGAAAAAGAGATAGATAGATAGATAGATAGAGAGATAGAGAGAGAGAGAGAGAGAGAGAGAAAGAGACATAAAATAATCAAATGAAAGAGAGCGAAAGAAAGAAAGAAAGAGACCGAACAAGAGAACAAAAGACCTACACAACGAATAGAAAGAAAAACACAAACAAAGAACAAATCCAAACAAAGAAAACAAACAAACAAACAAACAAACTGAAAGGTAAACAGCAAAAATAGAAAAAAAGAAAAAAAGAAAGATTACAATACAACAAAAATACAAATAGTAAATAGTAAAATAACAAACTAGGAAAATAGTAAAATAGTAAAACCACCAATTTTCAAAAACTAGCTAATTCTCACTCGAAGGTTCAATTCCGTGCATGACAATTTAGAGGTTCAATTTTGAACACACTATTACTGTTATGACAAAAAAAAAATTGTATTTACTGATCTAGAAAAATTAGTTCTTTATGGAGAGGTTGACCGTAATAACTAATTTATATTCTGGACAATTCGCTGTTTGATCTAACTTGTTTTCACATATAGCGAGTTTGAGAGAGAGAGTGAAAGTAATTATGAAGATCAATTCCGCTGTGATGACCTTGGCAACATGTGTGTGACGGAGTAAGGGACAAGTCGATAGCTACGGAGATAGATTGGTAGATAGATAGGTAGATAGATAGATAGATAGATAGGTGCAGTAGGAACGTGAGTTGTTGGGCTATGAGAGAGAGAGAGAGAGAGAGAGAGAGAGAGAGAGAGAGAGAGAGAGAGAGAGAGAGAGAGAGAGAGAGAGAGAGAGAGAGAGACAGATAGAAAAAGATACAAAGAAATAAACAGACAGACAGACATACAAACAAACAGACAGACAGGCAGACATACAAACAGACAAAACTAGCTAATAAATAAACACCTCTCTTCTTCTTTCCCTCTCCCCCTCCCTCTCCCCCATCCCCCTCCCCCCCAAGTGACATTTATTCAGCAAGAAGAAAACCGGCGGCCAATTAACGCTCGTCACTGAATTTCACGTCAATCAAAACTTTTGCTAATTATAATCATAATTATAATACATTTACATAATTTTTTTTATTTTTTTTCTGAGTTCATCTTCTTCTTTTGAGTTTAAATTACACGCTTGTTCTTTGGTTGTAAAAACGCGTGGGGAAAAAAAAGGAAGTGAAAGAAGAGGAAAGAGGAATGAATAAAAGGAAGAAGGTAAAAACCAATGATAAAAGAGGAAAAGGAAATAAGATCAAAGGGATGTGGAAAAAATAAAAATATTGGAAAAGGAAGGAAACGTGAAATAAAATAGGACAAGACAAAAGGGAATCAACAAAGAAAAGAGAAAAAACAAGCAAAAATGGACGAGAGAATATTAACAAAAAAGAGGACATGGAAAATAAACAATAAAAGGGAAGAAAACAACAGCAAGAGAGAGAGAGAGAAAAATAGAGAGAGAGCGAGAGCGAGAGAGAGAGAGAGAGAAAGACAGAGAGAGAGAGAGAGAGAGAGAGAGAGAGAGAGAGAGAGAGAGAGTGAGTCAGACAGACAGAAAAGAGAAACAGAGAGAGAACAGAAAGAAGAGAGAGGGCATAAAGAAACAAACAGAGAGAGAATGATAGAAACAGAGAGAGGACGAGACTAAAGATGAAGCCATGACATGACAGCGTAAAGATCAATGCTTTGTCAGTCTCGTGTCAAGCTTATGGACAAATGCTGTGTCATCATCAGTTGTGACAACATAAATTTTCAAATCCTTCACCTTTAAATTCGAAAAAAACACGTTTCAATGTTTTTCGTATCTTTTGCAACATGCTACACGTTAGAATATGTGTTAAAGTGTTGCAAAAATACGAAAAACATAGAATTTGTTAAGATGGAACAAAAAATGAAGCGAAATGAAGTAAGATAAAGATGAAATGAAATAAAATAGAATAAGATTTAATAAAACAAAATGAAATGATATTAAAACTAAAAATAAAACAAAATGGAGTTCAACATAATAAACTGAAATACAAAAACAAAAAAACTAGGTCGTATATAAATGGAAAGTGATATACAACTAGGAAAAGGTTATATAAATATATAGATAGATAGATAGATAGATAGACAGATAGACAGTTTTTTTTGTTGTTTTTTTTGTGTGTGTGTTTGTAACAGAACACAGTTATAATGAAACACAAAAACATAAACGAAAACATGTCACGCTTTATATTTCTCTTTGGCGATATATAATTATATTTAGCCTTTTATAATTACGTTTGACGTTTCAAAATCCAAAATCTTTCAAAATCTTTCGAGTTTTATAACGATCTTTGGCGATTTAATATTCATCTACGGCGTTTCATAACTTTCTTTAGCAACTTATTACTATCTTTATCATTACCAATTTTTTTTTATTGGCGTTTTATGATTTTTTTTGGCGATTTTTAATTATACTTTGACGTATCATAGCGATCTTTGGCGATCCTCTTCAATCTTACCTTTCGGACACCTGTGGAATTGGCGCCGCGAATTTAC